GCGGAGAGAATTGAAGACACACGAGCCGCGCACGCGAAATGATTGCAGGACGGGGGTAACACGTCACGTTTGCTCGGGGATAACTGCACGAGCGCGGGCAAGAGATCCGTCCACCCGAAATTCGTCGACCGTCGCTTAAACGTCCGTGACGGTTGTGCCGCCGGAATCGAATATCGAGATTTTCGCGAATCTCGATAAACGTCGAGTCAATCTACCGAAACCCGGATTTCCGTGTTTTCCCACGTGAGATCCTTGCGGCCCTTTTTTTTCTTCCCCTCCGACCGATTTTCGCGAACCGTTAACAAAATATTCCATTCTGACATTTTTTTCGCTCGACCCTTCAATAATCGCTTCTGGCTCAACGAACGGCCGAGTTTCACCGGGCAATCCGTTTCTCTCCTCCATCTCTTCTTCTCGTACCCCTCTGTCACATTGGTACGAGAACCCGATAATCAAGTTCCGTGACATAGTGGTCCAATTCAAATGCACAGCGTGATTATTTGAATATTTTCAAATTCCTTATCCATATCGTTAAGAAAATATTGAAATGTTCATGTTGGATTTTCAATTGTAAAATAATATCTTGCAACCGTATTCTTTCACGCAAGCAAGAAAATCAATTTATTCTCGATTCCTTCACAAGCAATCAATTAACTATATAAAATGGTACAATGCGAAAATAAAAATCTGAGAGAAATATGTATAAATGCATATAATTCATAATATCTCAGCTGTGTGAAATTGACCACTTCACCCCCCCCCCCATTACTGAAAATTCAAAAATGACCATTATTACTCGATTGGTGGTCGTTTGGTAGTATTTAGTAGTCCATTCTCGCTGCAGATTAGTAGTCAAAATTGTAAATAATAATATATAAAAAGACATACGTGCGTTACCCTTCCTTTCGCAAAATATAACTTTTTAAACTGTGTAGGCAATTATAACTGTAAGCATTCGACTATCAATCATCGAGAATGGACTACCAAATATTGCCAAACGACTACTAATCGAGTGGTAATGGTCGTTTTTGAATTTTCAGTAGTGTCATCTTCACACAGCTCAATATCTCGTTAAAGAAAAAGATTCTTATGTGTATGTATAAATAATGCGAATCTCAACTGTAAATTATCGTAACCATTTACGGTCATCTTCGAACTTCAGCGTTTATCGTATTTGACTTTGCGCGAACTTCGCAATTTTATCTTATGTATTGAAGATGAATTATTCCAATAATTACAACAGCCTTTATATGACGTTTATATGACGCTTTGAAGAGCCAGAATTTCACCGAGCTCTCCGACGATCCATGCGAAATGTATGTCGACGCCTCGCTGGATCTTGAGAGAGAACGCGTGACATCTCTCCAAGGGTAATAATTTACATGGTCTTTTACAGCAGGTCGGCGTACGGCACACCGCTGACGAGCAGGCCGGCGACGGTCGAGGAGACTTCGGCATCGTTGCCTCTCAGCGGCATGCAGAGGGAACTCCATACGATTCTCAAGGAATTGCAGTTCATCACAAGCCGCATGAAAAAGGCAGACGAGGACGACGAGGTTATTAGCGACTGGAAGTTCGCCGCCATGGTGGTCGACAGGTTGGATGTTTTAAATCTTTCATGTGGTTTCGGTCGTGCACGCGCGCGGCACACGGCGCCTCTCTCGCGGAAAAATCATGGACAAAGAGATAGCTTTTACATAGCGGTAAACTCGAGGTACAGATCCTCTCGTTCCTCGCACGAGAAAAACTCGTCCGTCATTTATGCGCCGGCCCGCCGATTCGCCGGGCGAATCCATTACGTGATTGTTTCGAACTTGCTCGTTTCAGCTATTCAAAAAATTCCTCTGCTCAATAATTTCATATTTGCTTGAACCTCACATGAATTCAATTTGCGGAAACTGGTTTGCTCAGTCATCTCAATTATAGAAAATTTATAATTATATGTAATTACAAATCTACAGAATTAGGAATATTAGGTACCTTAAAAAAGCAATTCGTTATTATTACCGTTACTGATTTTAAAAAGTAACGCGTTACCGTTACCGTTATCATTACTTGAAAAGTAATGATTTGTTAATTCTTTATAATACTAAAATAAGTTTAATATATTTTAAATTTATATTATTTGATAATGATTACTAAATGTAATAATAAATATTAGAACTTGAAACTTTCTAGACTAATCTATATAGTATAAAGCAAGTTTTTCTTTATATTAGTCATTTTTATAGAAAGTTAAATTAAATTCATTGTTTTTAAACTTAATATCATTATTAAGAGTGTATTCCAATAATCATTGTTAGTACTGAAAATCTATAATAAATCTATAATATATTATAGATTTTCAATACTGATAGTGACTATGGGAATGTAGCCAAACAGTACAAACTATTTTTCGAAAAATAAATTAAAAACATATTATAGAAAGTAAAAGTCTAATAAAGTAGCGATAAAAATAACGGCAAATTCGTCATCATTACTGTAAAAATGTAACAAGGTTACCGTTACCGTTACAGATAGAAAAAAATAACAATAGTTACTGAAAAAATGTAAATGGTAACGGCGTTACAAATAACGGTAATACGTTACATCCCAACCCTACAAATACACACACACACACACACATGTATATGTTTTATATCTTTTATTTCCAATATTGAATTTTCTTACACAGAATTGATTTTACTATTCCATCTCTTTACTATTTATCTAATCTATTGTTTAAGCAATCAACTTGTGAAACTAACATTCAAATTTTTTTCCTGTGAAATCAAGGCTTTGCCTGTTCATCTTCACGTTATTCACGGTTTTGGCTACGGTGGTGATACTGTGTCGTGCGCCACACATAATCGTCCAGTAATAGACTGCCCCGGTCGAACCGAAAAAATACATAAAACATGCCAGGGATAGCGCCTCCTGGAATATCCGGTAAGAATATAAATCATATACTTTATCATATATAATTGCCCTTGTAATTGCACGTTTTATATACTGCAGCTTCTTCCTGTCCCGAAATTACCGTCGATATAGCTTATTCATCGGAAATCGCGCGAGATTTCGCTTAATATCGTGCGTGCCGCTAGTTATTCGCCCGACAGACCAAAATCGTCATGTAAATTTCGCACCGCACGGACCAGATAGGCCGCGATCATTACGTGCGAATGACGCCGGCCAGATGACCATAACGCAGTTAATACTGCGTGGAAATGTTAACAAGCGCCGGTGTAACAAGCTTGGCTCATTGGCCGTCGTGCGCGCTGAAAATATCCAATCGGGCTAACGCGAATGTCTCTATCTCGCAATTTCGTCGCGCTAATTGCGAGAGTCGGTGCCTCCGGAGCGCACTCCGGAGCGCAATTATTTATGCATTAACCCGGATACACAACCATTCGATTACATGATTTCAAGTACTCGGACACTCGTTGCTTGATTATCGAAAATTGGCTTTGAATAGTGCGATAGTTTCGTGCCAAATGTGATTAGTGTATAAAGAATATTTATTACTCGCTTATATAACTATCTATTAAATTACGAGAGAGACAGAGAGAGAGAGAGAGAGAGAGAGAGAATTTTAATATTCATGAAATAACAACCGACATAAAGAAATTCATTTAATTATATAATTACAACTTTAGAAAAAGCTAAAATGTTAATGAGTTCTTGCTCATTGGCGGCTCCCATTCGCATTTTTTATATACATTCTCCGGAAAAAATTACGTATAAGTTAAATTAATTTCTGTACTTTCTTTTTTTTTTATTTTACTCTTTTTATTGATCCAGAAAATTTCCGGTCCCTGATTACTCTTCGATATTTCTCTTAATCTTCTCAAGCTTAACTGCACAGCGCGTACGCCAGTTGAAGGTTTTAAAGTTATCGGAATATATTAGAGAGATCCCAATGAAAGTTCATACCTCGAGCTTTAGAATTGCTGGAAACTAAAAGCCCGGCGAAGCTTAATGGCAAAGTAAGCCCTCGCAAAAATCGATTAGTCGGCACATCTCAGAATCCCTCTCGCCCCAATGTCAATCCCTCAATAGTCAGACATGTCGCGTTATACTCGTGCCTTCTTCTCTCTCCTTCGCAGGAACGACGTCCGGCACGATTCGAGGAGGCGGCTACGGAGCACGTCGAAGTGAAAGCGGAGAAAGCGCGGGAAAATAAAAATAGACGGACTCGTTAGCCCCTGTCGCGCCCTTCTGCGCAACTCACCCCTCATCCGGGAGGGGGGAGGAGGAGGGAGAGGGGAAGAGGGAACAAGGGAACGTGTTCTCGCGTTCTCGGATTCCTCACAGCTGGGAATTACCGCCGGTTTGTGCGCGACGGTTCCTTCTCGCGACGTGCTTTCGCTCAAACGCGAAGGAAGCAAGAGTGAGACCACCGACGACGTTCAACGGGAAAAGCCACGGGGAGGATCGACTTCCGGCAGCGACGGCGACGGCGGACGCCATCGTAGTCTTTTAGCGGACGGGGCACGCGCCTGGGAAAATGTTTCCGGATTCAAGAGGAGGGAACACGAAGGGAATGGGAACAAGGATCCGATCGCCGACGTCACGCTCCGTTACGGCTGCGTTATTTCGTTTAAGTGACTTAATTAACGTTTCTAGTGTGCGGAACCGGTAGGTAAACGACGCGCGACGCGAGCTGGACGGAGATTTAGAGGAGGGTGCCTCTAAATCGTAGGACGAAGGTAGGTGCAGGCGAAAGGGAAAGAGAGATAAGCACGCGCTGTCGAGTGTATCTAATTGCGTTTCGCGAGCTCCTATCGATCGCGATATCGACCGGCGATCGCCCGCGGCTGTCGCCGGTGTACGGCGATCGCCGGTCGTTCTCATTTCGACGACCGATGCGATTTCGCGAGGTAAGGGACGCGCGACAAGTCGACGGCGGCGTCACGAGACAGAAGGAGATCGCGCAGTCCTCGGAAAGAGCGTTGTTGCGGCCTTTCGATAATAGTAACAATAACGATAATATTTCTTATAATAATGAGAATAATAATTAACGATAATTAACTGTTAGTCGCTTTGCGCGCGCGCGCATGCACGCACGCACGCACGCACGCGCGTTACGACCGAGTCGTAATTAATTAACGCTGCGATCTGTTGAGGGTCTCTCGTAGGGAGCCGAGACGGACTTTAAAATAAACTGCCAAATAGAAAAACTCGAGTCAGGGGTGTTCAACCTTTTCAAACGGTAGGAAAGTAAAGTGCGGCCTGGACGATCGACAGGGTGAACGCGCGCGCGGTACCGCGACCAATAGCGAGAGCCCGTTACAAGGGGAGGGGTGGAGTGGGGGTGATCCGTCGTCACCCCCGTCTGTTTCGTTCGACGAATATTTTCCTTTTTTCCTCGTGCACGATCCGCGGGTAACGAACGCGATTTAGCGGCGTCCTCTCTCTTTAGAGGCGAGTCCGATAAGGCGCGTACGAAACTTGCGGCTATCAACGATCGCGCGATCGACCCTTCACACGCTCGATATATTTTTCCACGTTCCTCCCCGTTGTAAAACCTCTCCTATCCTATTATCCACGTGCTCGAAAGCTGACGTACGGCGAAACCACAAGCGCGGTCCCCTCCCTCCTCCGCACTTCCGCACTAACCCACCTGATATTTTCACACCGCGTATTGCCACGTTGTGCACGTGTGTTTCTGTTTGTGCGCGCGCGTGTCTATGTATGTATGTTTGCATGCGTGCGTATGTGCGTGCGCGAGCGTGTGTGTGTGTGTGTGTGTGTGCGTGCGTGCGTGCGTGTGTGGTGTGTGTGTGTGCGCGCGCGCGCGCGCGTGTGTGTGTCTGTGTGTGTGTGTGGGTATGTATGTGTATGTACATGCGAGAGATATACAAACGCACAAGAGAGCGACCGACGCGTCGCTTATTCAGCCAAATCGGCGGAAGAGGGTCGATCGATCGATCGGCCGCTCATTTCGTCCGGATCGTACGAGCCGCACGAGCACGCAGCGTAAACCGGCGAGCGAACACGTACACACAGACACACGCACACACACACAGAGGACAGAGGCGAACGCGACGAGGGCGAGCAAACCGCGGAGAAGAAATAAAATTATAAAAAAAAAAAAGAAAAACTGCCAAGTTGGACCACCCCTGCTTTCCGTACAGAGTCACGCGTACTCGAGTCCTCGAGGACCTCGGTGAATCCGTCGTGGATCGTGATCGAGCGCTGCGAGAGCGATCGACGTACATATTAATTATGGGGGCCATGCCTACCGCGACGACGATTTGTATCTCGGTGGATCGCAATAAGTCTCGTTGCTCGACTTCGCGCTTGTCAAGCCTTTCGACGACTGTGACTTAACGTGGCCGAGCTTCCCAAATCGTGTTTAACGCTTTCTAACAGTCCTACTTCCATTCCGTTCTCTTTGCCAATACGTATCTCATAACGGCTCATCGGTAAAGGGATAAAGTCAAAGGTCTGTCTGAATCTAACACTTCGATGGCTTAAAAAGAGATCCAGATGCAGTCATATAACTTTCGAACAAAAATTTTCGCTAATTGCATTTCAAGTATAAAATAAATTTTATATTTACTATTTGTTTTTATCATGAAGATATTTTATTTAAGAAGAAAGATAAACGGAAGAAGAAATAATAAATTTCAATTCGTTATTAGTCAGAGCGTGATATTTATAAAAGTCGATAATCCACGATCGTTTCTATCGCTGACGGTATAAAAGGAAACTCGTGACCTCGAGCGAGCTAATCAAACAATTAATCCTTGAGGCGGGTTCCGGGAATCCTCCGAAGGCCTCATTAACGTAAACCCGTCGTCGGGCGAGTCGGTACTTTTTCAATCGCGCGCGACTGATTATCCGAACCGATTCGCGGATCCGCTCGTTATTGAGTATCACACGTGGGTTGTACGGATCGGTGTTTCATTTATGCAAACTAGTTTTCCTGGTTTATTGCTGTTGATTTTCTACGTTGTTTACTCCGTCGGCATTACGCACGAGCACTTTTCATGATCTCGTATTTATTTAGAGAATACTTCATTAGTACTTTATCATTACAATAATTTGTCATTATAATATTTATCATTATATATATACATATAGTACTATTATTATATAGTATTATCATTATATAGTACTGTCTGCAGAAGGCTTACGTCCTACCACACTTGTATTGCACACATCAAAATTAATGGCACTAATCTCAGAAGAAAATCAGTTTCATGATACATAAACATAAAATAAATATTATAAGACTCTAACTGCCGTTACGAAACGGGCAAGCGAATGGTTAATGTTAATTCAAGAAAGTCTTGTAATATTTAAACGAATATCTAATTTTTTTATTTTTCCTAAAGAATATCATTTTCTTCTTTAACATTACGCAGTTACAATTGCTAATGTCATAGAGTTAACTGTACACCATATCTCATAAAAATTCGCGTATTTAGCAAGATAAATTTAGCAACGCGTAACGTTAAATTACACAGTCGTCGAAGGGCGTGACAAACATCCCCCGTTCCCAGCCCGCTCTCCCTGCCTCATTTAACGAAACTGTGCGGAATGACAGAGTGATATGTATAATCGTTCAAACGACGCAAAAGATGATATACAAGAAGTGTGATAAATAACGTATCGAAGTGTTCCGATTAAATGCACGGATTAAAAAAATACTTCGGATTAAATAAATATGTAAACATAAACGAGTTTGCGTGGCGTGAAACTTAAGTACATCTTACAGCGATCTGTTTGGTACACGAGTGAACAGTGTCATCGGCTGAATAGTGTCATAGCACGCATCCACGCATACATAGACACGCATGCACACACAGATACACACACACACACACACACACACACACACACACACACGAATACACATTCACTGATGAACTACTTACAATGTTGAGGCAGCGACGGTGTATTCATCAAGCAGATACGCAAAGATTGGATCGTCGACGATAGTCGATCGCTCCGGAATCTCACGGATTGACCGTAAATCGCGCACCGACCATCGGCGATCCATCGGCGCGGGAAGAGAGTCCACCGAGCAAATCAAATCAAACCATGAAAATCATTGCGAATTCGTTTTCCCGAGGACGGTTTCAGGTGATTATCGATCATTGCCGACAATCATTTTCGCGGGAACGTACGTAGGTCTGCGGCGCCCAGCGGAAGCACGAAAAACGCACACAGACGGGAAGGAATTGTGATACATAATTGTGTGTGATCCTCGGGACGCACGCGACGCGGGGAAACTGCAGGAACGATCGAGGAACAATCGCGCGACGCGAGGAACAATTTCGAGCACAACGAATCGCGAGTAGTATTTCGTGAGCACGTGAGCAGGGAGGAGAGACTGAAGGGCCGTTTACACCACGCGATTTCTCGACACAATGCTGCTGGGAACGTTGTTAGGTTAATCGTTACGAACGTTATTCTAAAATCATAACTGCTTGCTATAGTAATACATAAGCGTCAGCTAGAATATACATATATCAGAGATATTGCGATTACTTAATGTCGCGATATGTATAGCATCTAATTAAAATATTGCTAAAAGTTGTGATCGCGATGCAGAAGCGTATAGGCAGCGCTTGGACTCAAGTGTATAACGAGAAACGAATGTAACATTTATAATAATTCGAGTTGCGTTCGTAATTCATTGAATCGTAACCGTTGAATCAACTAATTCGTAATCGTTCACTGATTCAATAAATAATTATAGTAATTTGCTCAGTCGACTTGATATCCGTTTGAACGGGCTTTGTTAAACCAAGCGTCGGCGGTTTCATTCTTTCGAGCAATCTCTTCCTCAAATTTTCTTCAAATTATTCCACGTAGGTCTATAATCTTTTCGATGCGATATTTTTAAAAAGAAAAAAAATAAAGAATCTGCGGTGTAAACGGGCCTTGCAGAATCGCTGAAACAATCGACATCGTACGGGGATCACCGACGATTTCGAGGCGGCGCGGCCGATCGACGGGGAGATTCACCCAGGGCGTCCTCCGATTTAGCATAATTTTCTAACTCATCACGCGCGCGCCACGTAATCGATAAGTATACGAGTATATAAGGAAGGGCGTCCGCCACAGTTTGACGGCCGGTCTGTCGAATAAATAATGGGGAGGGGGGAGGGAGGAGACGGGAGTCCGAGGGCGCGTCGCGACGCCGTCGTGAAATCGGCCGCCGGAGCGAAACCGTCGCGTAGAGTGATTCGGAGTTTTTGGGGACGGAGGCGTAATCCACGGTCTCGAGTGGCACCACTCGCGATAAATGACACTTGCTACAATAGTGATACCAGGGAAAGGAAGGTACACACGCTGGTCCGTATTGCCCCTGAACGCGTTTTCTCTTCTGCACGCTGAACGCCCCTCGTTCGATTCCCGAGATTCACGTCGATCTTGGGATCACGAATCGTTTCACGTTAAGCAAATCGAATTCCAGAATCGGACGGGGCGCATTTAGTGTAACGCGAAACGCACGACGGGGCGATGCGGGCCGTATCTTCCCGCGTAGATATGTGTATCTTCCGTTGCCGTCTCACCGGGGATTTTTTTATATATATGCGATAACGAGGGCAGAGGCGGCGGGAGAGTGTAGTGCATTGTTAATTCCAAAATGCTCATTAAAACGAATCTAGCGAGTATACAGCGTAAGAAAATTTTACATGGTGTTTGTACGTTTAAGGGACTAAAAAAAACGCATTACGCGCAGAGAATCGCTCTGCGCTCGAACCACCGTACGTACGTAATTAACGGGAGCATTAAAGCAGCAGCGCGAAGATGTAAAATTACGAGCAAACGGGAGAAAATGTTATATATTGTAAGAAAAGAGAGAAAAAAAGAGGAAGAGGAGGAGAAGGGAAACGAATCCGTATAAAAACGTTAAGCGATTTAAGCTTTAGAAAACTCGATGTACGGTAATCGTTTGGTTAGTGAAAAGTCACACGTGATTATTATTACTATTGTTTACGCCGAAGGAAGCGACGATCATCGTTAGTGCTATTATCACCGCAGGACTATTACTATTAATATGATTA